CAAAAAAAAAAATTCTTTAAGGCCTGATGGAAAAAGCTTAGTTTTCTTGAAAGAAAACCCTGAATTTTGTTACCTATTTAAATGTAACCTAAGAAGTTGTATGTCCCAGGACTGATAATTTTGCTTTAGCTCAGGTTGTCCCACCCAGAGCTACCTTCCCCCTGCCTCCTCCACAGCGCAGGGTCTGAGGGGGCAGGGCTAGCTTCGGAGCCCTTCATGGCATTGTGACCTTGAGCCAGTTGCTCGCCTATCTAGGTCTTAGTTACTTTATTGGAAAATGAGGGGTTTTTCCTACCCATGTTCTTCTACTTCTGCCAGCCATAATGTTCTAGGAATCTTGACTGCGTTGATGCCCTCAGCTGGGAGAGAAAGACAGACATAGGGATGTGTGCTTCTGGCCTTGTTGACTGTGGGCTCAGTGTAGCCTCCACAGCTGCCAGCACCAAATGCCGAACCGCCCTGCTCTGATTACGTGGCATTCAAGTTTTGCATGAGTTTGCGGTTTGTTCACCTGTTGGAAGCATGAAAAGACTAAATACTTGGAACACACTGTTCCGCCCCTTGCTTGGAAGTTCAGCAAGCTCTTGGTGATTTATAGCTTCAGAGAATAACTGCTAGAATCTGTGGCCTTTCCTAGTGCCATCCAGGCCCTGCTGGCCAACACAATTCTGAAATTGCAACTGGATTTTTGTTTGTTTTAATGCTGAGCCACGTTCATTTGAAACAGTATTTCTGAAGTTTTAATGACATTGGCCTGTCGGGCCCCCCCAACGCCACCCCTTTCTTCCTCCCGAATCGCTCACAGTTGTGCTGTAGATTATAGCTTCAGTTGGCATGAGACACTCATCCAGGGGAGCCCGAGTGGTTGTTCAGGTTCAGCCCCTGAGAACTCACAACAAGGACTCTCTTGTTGAGGATGGAGGCAGGACAGTTTGGGGCAGAGGAGGAAAGATCTGCCCTGATCTTTTTCCAGTAGGAGATGGAAGTGGAGGAGGCAGCGTGACTGAAAGGGACAGGCCTGGGACTTGGCCTCTGAAGCGTGCTACTCCCTTATGAAGTCATCCTGCCCCCTCCTGCCAGGCCCGGCCCACAGAACACTGTGAGGGGACAGTCAGTAGAGACCTACCAAAGGCCTACGGGGCGCCTCTTTATGAAAAAGGAGGACTTTACCCTGCCTTTGTTTAAATGGTCTTAAGAGGAGACACTCTCAGAGCGACAAGTCGGCTCGTTGTCTCATCGGAAGACCATCAAGGTCACTCTGTAGGATGTTTTAGGACAGTGTCGTTTTGCAAAGACACCAAGCGAGTAAGGAGGATCTGTAACACAAGCTCTCTATAGCAATCCGTTTCATCCTTATAACTTATTTTCCTCTTTTCCATGCTCTAAAAGTAAATGGAGCTTGTGTGAATGGCCCGTGTAAAATAAAGCTTACCTTGCCATAAAATTAATCCCCTTACTTTTTGAGCTTGATGTCAAGTAAAAAATCACATTGTTCTTGGATGGTGGCACATGGCAACTTTTTATAGTCTTTCGAATGCTTATTGTATGCATTTTTTCCCCCCCAAATTAGAAAAAAGGAATCACATTGTTAAATCTCTGGCAGAAAAGAATTGTTAAGCGAGAAAGAGACAGGTTGAGAAGATGCCTTTAATTTATCCCCCCATGGCTAAATAATTGAGGAGCTTGCCAATCTTCCTGTTGACCTGGTTCCAAGAAAGCCCTCCAGGAGAGTGAGACCCACGTGGGGAAGGTGTTAAAAATGCCATGCATATGTCTGATTTGGTGATGGGGGCACAACTGATTTTTAAGACCTATTAATAGTTGTACTTTATTTTATCCCTCGACCCTTTTCTTAACACAAGGCCTCTGAGAAAGCTTAGAAGATGTAGTCTCGTGCTACTCCTATGTATCTTGCTGACACCGTTCTTATTTGCCATAACATAGAAGATGGTTTGGAACGTAACTTTTCTAAAATCTTACGGAAATACCGCTGCATTTTCTCATGTCTCCTTTAGGACTCGGTAAAATTTTAAAGAAGATCAACAAGGCCATCGTCTCCAAGAAGAATAAAGATATTGTGACCATGGCTAATGCAATGTTTTTGAACAACGGCTCTAAAGTCGAAGTGCCTTTTGTCGCGAGGAACAAAGATGTGTTTCAGTGCAAAGTCCGGAATCTGAACTTTGAGTATCCGGCCGCCGCCTGTGACTCCATCAACGCGTGGGTTAAAAACGAAACCAGAGGTGAGCGGTCACAGTTCCCCGGGCAATGTTTTGTATGGTTTTACACTTTGTGAAGGAACGTGTAGTTAGACTCTAAGAGTCTAACTCGTGTCTGCAGGTCCAGTGTCCCTTCTGTTGTGAAAGGCCAGGACCCAACTGACTGGTCTGTCTTTTCTTCCCTAGCAGGCTCCGCGCGACTCAGTCTGCCCTCCTTCCGTTTTCATGCTGCCACTCATGGTGTCCCTTGGGGATTTTTCTCCCTGTGGCATGAGCAGCAGAGCAGAGTCCAGCCCCACAGATCCTCTCCCTTCCTCACAGCCTGTCATCCCCAGAGTTCTTGCCCACAGGCCCTTATCTATTTTGCAAGTTTTACTGCTCGTTTCTTCCTGCTTTTGTATCTGCTGTCTCCTTTGCTTGAAATCTCCTTCTCAGCCTTTAAGATTCAGAATTGATCTCTCTCCGTACCTTCCCTGCCTTGCTCCTGTCATCTCAGGAAGTCGGTGCCGCCTCCCTGGTTATGATTGGCATGTGATTATGCCTGTTCTGTGCCCCTCCAGTATAGCACTTTCCACACTGCATAATGATTACTTGTTTATGTGCATCTCTTCTCCCATTAAACTGAGAGGATGTCTGACGTTGGTGTTTTAAACCTGTTCATTTGTAAACTGGAGGCGCAGGTGAGAACATCCAGGAGGAGAGGTCGGTTCAGAACAACAGAGGAAAGCTAAGTCTAGAAATGTAGGCTTAGGAACCATTTTTCACAGAAGGCAGAGTCAAGGTCGCAGGAGTGGAAGCAAAAGAGACTCAACAGAGAGAAGAAACTGAAAGACAAAACTTGGGGAAGCTTCAGCTTTGCAGGTCACGTTTCTTGAAGCGTGGTTACTGATGCACCTGCATGACAGTTACCTGGGACATATGTTTAGAATGTAGATGGCCAGACCCCAACCAACTGAATCAGAATCTCTGAGGGAGGAGCCTAACATTCTGCATTAAAACAAGTTCTCCCCCCATTTACCTCCACCACCCATCGCCAGACTTAACATACGTGGATGATGTCTGAGAACCATTCGAGTGACCAGTGAAGAGATAGACAAGGGATGCTCTGGAGAGGGGAGGAAAGCCAGGCTGGTTGTGGGAAGTCCACGTCACCCCTTGATCCTGGACGGTGCAACCTGGGCTCCCTTCCTGAAACCGTGAAACCGTCAGGAGACCAGCAAACGTGAAGGGGTTAGTGGTTTTTCTGAGCCTGTGGGCCTAAGAACAGTGGTAGGAAACTGACGACACTCAGACACTATTAGATGGCCGTTTGGCATGTCACTGTGCCCTCCCAGCCTTCTTCTGTACTATGCAATGGTAACATTAAATCACATTAGAATACCACCTGACAACTGTCAAAGCACTTGAATGTGCATTGTCTCAATCAATTGCTTACTGCATCTCTCAGGAAAGGACAGCGATGAGACTCGAGCAGTGTTTTTCAACCCCAACTCCCTCTTTGGAAACAAATATTTTTAATACTCTCTGTACTATCCTGAAATGAAATTTATAGCTCATATAGCCTGCATAGAACAGACAAAAATGTTTAAAAGTTAATATAATGCCAGACTGTAATACAAGGAAAAACAAAAGTAATTTATAAATGTAGTTCAGTAGATAAGCCCATGGGTACAGCTCCACCTGAATACATAACAAAGCAGAGCAAGACAAGCTAATAAAACAAGCATAGTCTCCACTCAGTTTGCATGGTAGTTGCGTTCCTGGCAAATTCAGTGTATGTTAAAAGTATGGCCTCTGAAAGATCCATATGTTTACATGGAAAAGAATAAGATTCTGGGCTCAGATAATTGATAAGCGGATTTCTCCCTGACGCGACTATCCAGCGGGGCATTTGGAGTGATGCAGGGAGAGGAAGGTTCTTCATTCTGTGGGACTGTTTTGAATATTACAGGCCCCCATGAGAAGTACTTGCCTACATGACAGGTCTCAGAAGGACCCTGGAGGCTGAACGGTCCATGTGCGGACGACAGCCGAGTCCGTCCCCATGGAGATGGCACTTTTTTGCCCTTGCAGACGGTGGAAGAACCAACACAGAGGCACTTTTTGGTGTTTATTGACTGTGTAACCTTAGTTAGGCGAGTTACTTAACCTCGCTGGCCCTCAGCCTCCTCATCTGTAAAATGGAGAGACAATAGTGAGAACCGCTGGAGCAGCATTAACGTGGTTATGGGGATAAAAATAATACATGTGAACCATTTAGTGAAGTGCCTGGCACTTAGCAAATGTTGCAGTGTGAGCTATTTTTATGTGAGCCATTAGCTCAAATAATACTTCCTTAAGGAACCCATCCATCCCTGACCTCGCCTACCAATCCGATTGCCACCGTATTTGCCCTCACATCCTTGAGTACTTCCACTTGAAGGCAGTCATTACAGCAGCAGCTTTACACTTTCCCACGTCATTTATGTCAACCTCCACCTCTCAATTCCATAGCTTTTTGAGGACAGAGTTCATTTTTGTTGTTGTTGTTTTCTTTAAAAGAGTACCTGGCACCTGATAGGTACCTAAGGATGGATGGGTGGGTGGGTGAATATGAGTGTAGGGGTGGAATCATGGATGGAGGATGGATGCATGTTTATGGCTGTTGTTGATGGCAGGTCCTCCATGTGCCTCCTTGTCTCTAAACTATACATTTCTTACCTTTCTCTCTTTATCCTTTTTATGTTTTCCTGCTCCCCTATAATCTCTGAGTCCTACCAGGGGCAATCAGAGGTTTTATTTTTCTCAGCAAAAAAGGGCTGAAGAGATGTCCTTAGACACTTTGAGCACTGACAGTATGCTGAACATAGAACTAAGTGTGGTTTTAAAATAAAAGAGTGATAGTGTCCTCGTTCTTGTGCACTTCGTGGTTGGATTGGGGGAGACAAACACATTAAATTCGTCTAGAATAAAATAGCGCTGTGTACTGGTGGGGCTGAGCAGTGCGCTTGGTGGAAAGTCCTGGGCGATCAATCAGTAGGAGGGTCACAAAGGTATACAGGAAGAGGGGACCACAGAGCTGTGTCTTACAGGCAGGTGGGGGTTGGGCTGGGTGATGTTCCCGGCAAAGGCAAGAAACATTCGCTTTCGGGGAACCAACTCTAAGGAGCTTGCTATCGCTGGAGCGCAGAGTTCCGACTTCCTTCCCACAGGACGGTCTGTTCGCAGAGGCCGGCCTTGTATCCGATGATGGCTCTTTATTTATAGCTTCTGCGTTTTCCTTCCCGATCCCAAGGTAAGGGGGCGTTGGTGCCCCCTTGTGGAAGTAACGGGCAGTCATGAAACTGTCTTGCTGAGCGGTCAGGGAAACCTCAAGTCGGCTTCTTACCATGGTTTATTTAAACATATTTTCATTATACATCGGAATCTTCTTGAACTTCATTTAAAAGGACTTAAAGCTCTCTCTGCTGAATTAGACATTCTTCCTTTTTCCAAAACCGTTGGTTTTATTATCACCATTTGCCATATAACTTGCATTTATGTGATGTAGATCCCCCCCCCTTTTTTTTGGTAATATTCTTGGGCTAAAAACTACCTTAAACTAGTTTTTAATAGCTTTGGTTATTAGTGACCCCTCTTACACACACACACACACACACACACACACANACACACACACACACACACACACAGCTAACTCGTCAAATATGGAGCATAAGGAACCTAAATGAAAAACCAAAGCGCCAAGCGCAGATAGATAGCACTTTGAAGGGCTTTGTGACTTCACAAGAGCATCCTAGAACAATTGTGGTTCCTGCTTCACTCCTGACACACTCCCAGCATCTTGTGAAGAGCGTTTTTCTTCATAATTAGGAGTTCAAATTGCAGACCTCATTTCTTTTTATCTCTGTAATATTAGCATCTAGCTTGACCCCTGACCCGTAAATATAGACACCCGTTTTTATTTCAACTCTTCTGTAGTTCTGAGGCTTTGTGATAACCACAGATTACAAACTGATACTCAACATTTCTAAAATCTTAAGAGGATTAAGCATTTACCTTTGATAATATTGCATAGGCTGAAGTGTTCCTTTATTTTGACCGGGATTAAATCAACTTGGTAGTTAAAACAGCACAACTGCTTATCTGTGCTGACCAAAAATCCTCACTGGGAGTCATACATGTCAGCTATTAGCAAAAATAAGGAAATTAATTATTAGTTTAGTATAGCTTACTTAGATGAGTAAAATTTTCTAAAGCATTGTGTTGATGGGGAATAGTTATAAAATAATTTCTTTTTTCCTTTTTTTTAATTAAAGTTTATTGGGGTGACAATGGTTAGTAAAGTTATATAGGTTTCAAGTGTACAATTCTGTAATACATCTTCTATCTATCGCATTGCGTGTTCACCACCCAGAGTCAGTTCTCCTTCCATCACCATATATTTGATCCCGTTTACCCTCATCTACCGCCCCCCTCCCCACTTACCCTCTGGTAACACTAAATGAAAAGTTTGGTAATCCCTAAATAGAGAACGTCTAAAGCCTTTGCTGGTCTCTGATTTTTAACTTGTTTTCAGCTTTAAGTTTTAGTGAGAAAAAAACTAAGAAGTACAAACAGGTGTTGTAAAAAATTTCGTTTTAGGCCGGCCAAGTGGCTCAGTTGGTTAAGAGCGCGAGCTCTGAGCAACTGGTCGCTGGTTCAATTCCCACATGGGCCAGTGAGCTGCACCCAAACTGAGCTGCCAATGAGCTGCCAATAGGTGACAGGATGGCTCAGTTGGTGAGAGCACGTGCTTCTAACAACAAGGTTTCCGGTTTGACTCCTGCATGGGATGGTGGGCTACGCCCCCCCGCAGCTAAGATTGAACACAGTACTTTGAGCTGAGCGGCCACTAGCTGCCGATGGGCAGCCAGATGGCGACTGGACTTGGAGCTGAGCTAGCTGCGCCCTCCACAGCTAAGACTGAAGGAAAATAGCTTGGCTGTTCACCTTCCCCAATTCCCCAACACTGTTCCCCTCCCCCAATTCCCCAATAAAATCTTTTAAAAAAAATTCTTTTTAAAATCTTGTACACGTTCCTTTAATTTTTCATTCTCCATCCAACAGCTGCCTTTTGCCTTCCAAAGGACTGCCAACCCTGAGTTTCTTCCTTGTTCTCACAGGGATGATCGACAACCTGCTGTCCCCAGATCTTATCAACGGCATGCTCACCAGAATGGTCCTGGTCAATGCCCTGTATTTTAAGGGTTTGTGGAAATCACGGTTTCGACCTGAGAACACCAAGAAACGTACCTTTGTGGCAGCTGATGGAAAGTCCTATCAAGTGCCGATGCTAGCCCAGCTGTCCCTGTTCCAGAGCGGTAAGTTCACTCTTGGTGAGGCTCCGTTCTAGAGGGTACCAGCCACAGAAAGGCCCTGAGTGCCTTCACTTAGCTCAAGGGCAAATCTGCCTTTTATTTTTTTAAAGGGCAGGGGAAGTGAGGGCAAGATTTTTTAAAAGCTCATGGTAAGCCTTTGCATTACACTATTTACAAAAATTACATATTAATATATAACACATAGGCATAGGCATTTAGCAATTCACAAAATAAGTATAAATGGGGATTAAATATTTTGAAAGTATTCTCAATTCATCATTAGTAATCTTACATCACCAAATTGAAAATAAAAGTAGAAATTAGATTTCTTTTCCACTTGTCAGATTAGCAAACATTATAGATTGACAAAGCCCAGTCATGGCTCTGGTGTGGTGCACCATTGAGCACTGTTGGTGGCCAGGAGCCCTGGTCTGGAGGACTTCCTAGAGCCCTTCCCACACCAAGGAATTGATACTCTAAAGCTAATCACACACTAGCAAATAAATAGAAGCCAGATACATACAGTGGAGTACATGTGATAGTTAGATTTAGATTGACATAAGTAGAAAGATTGTATAATATATGGTTGATTTCAGACAAATTATAGAGCAATAGGTGCTGATTCATCTCATTTATGTAAAATACTTTCTAGATAGTCGCACATCTGTAGAGACATGTCTTAGAGGATGTTCGATAAAATGTTAATAATGGTAGTATTTTAAATGATTATTTTTCTTTATTTGAATTTGAAACTTTTTAAAATATGAGGTCTGACAATTAAGTTTGTGAACTTGTTGCCATGATGTTGCTAACCTTTTTTTATATCGGAAAGATTATTCATTATGGATTTGTACCAACTGGACAAACAGTTAGCCAAATTGATTATTGGGAAGTGCTGAAAAGGCTGCGTGAAAAAGTTAGACAACCCAAACGTTTTGCCAACAACTCATGGCTCTTGCATCACAACAATGCACCAGCTCACACAGCGCTGCCTGTGAGGGAGATTTTAGCCAGTAAACAAATAACTGTGTTAAAACACCCTCCCTATTCACCTGATCTGGCCCCCAATGACTCCTTTCTTTACCCAAAGATAAAGGGAATATTGAAAGGAAGACATTTTGATGACATTCAGGACATCAAGGGTAATACAACGACAGTTCTGATGGCCATTCCAGAAAAAGAGCTCCAAAATTGCTTTGAAGGTGGACTAGGTGCTTGCATCAGTGCATAGCTTTCCAAGGGGAGTACTTCGAAGGTGACTGGAGTGGTATTCAGCAGTGAGGCATGTAGCACTTTTCCCAGGATGAGTTTGTGAACTAAATTGTCAGACCTCGTATATATCAAGTTTACAATAAGGGAAAAAATTAAAAAGACCCATGTCTGCTGTCATTATTACAGCATAAATCACTAAGTCTGGTGAATGCTTTTGAAGCCTCGTTTCATGGAAGTGCTCACCATCCCATTTAAGTTAATCTTCTTTTTCCTCTGTAAATTAGCCTTGGTATCTCCCATCTACACCTGGACATGTGGGTCCCAAGTTTTTCCTTTGCATATTCAGTATATATTAGCTTCAAGCACTGCTCAATATTTTTTCAGCTGCCCAATTCTTTAAATTAAGGAATGACTCATGTGAGGGGCACAATAAACAAAATCACTTTCCTTCCCACCTGTTATTCATCAAGCTTCTTGGTAAAATCTTGTCATTCACTCAATAAATTTTTTTAAAAAGAGACTATGTATTTAAAAGTCCTATAGAAAGGTATCTTGCAAAGCAACTGAGAATAATCAAAGGCTCTTTTTGCCCAAAAGTCACTCTCACGTCATGTTGCCCAGGAAGACTTCATGAACACCAACATGGCCACCAGCCCAAATCCAAAGTAATTTTAATTTAGGTCAGTCTTTGTACACATTCTGCATTCTAATAAAATAAAAAGTGAGGGGACCTCGTTTACTGTATGTTTACATTGCTGAAAAATAACAAATAAGTCAGTAGTCAAAGATTAAAATGCAAGGATCCTATAGACATTTCCATGAACGATTAAAATGTTTGTGTTTACAAGAATGAATGTAACACACTTTTCTTGGGTATATAGGATGTTGCCAGAGAAGGAGCTACGTCTCCCGGGTAGTTCTTCAGTTAAGAACTGAGTTGTTTAAGAATATACATGTGAATTTTACAAAAAGTAATATACAGATACATTCCTATTGTCCAAGGTTCAGTCTCTGCAGAGCTACAGTATGCTTGGTATCTCCCCTGATTCGTGCCCTTCCTTCTCCGCCCTGTTCTGAGCCCCCAGGAGGCTGCATCGGTGGGCTCTCTTGCCCTCTGCCTTCCCGTTGGGTTGGCTAGTGGGGAACCAGCAGGTGATAAAGGTAAGGGAGGTGAGAGGGGTTGGGGCACTGACTTCCCAGCCCTCGCCCCGCGGTCACCAGGGCCACCGCATCCCTCCACCAGGGTCTTAGCTCCTGCCATCAGGGGGTGTCCAAGAGCTCTTTCTAGGTCACCTCCCCTTCCCTCAGCCCGCCCAGCCTAAAGGCTGGTAATGGTGTGCCACTGTTTGTAGCCCAGGGTATAATCCTTAAAGATTTCTCTGTGCTCTCCCCATGCTTTAGTCCCTTCACTAAACTCTTCTTAAATGACCCAGCTTGATGTCCTGTATGTTTCCTGTCGGACTCTGACTAATCTGTACTGAATTCAGCACAGAACACTGTAGCCCCCTTCTCACCACCATTCTCATCCCCTCACAAGTAAACACTAAACAGTATAGTGCGGTCCTTCTTACCCTCCGCTCTGTGCCTGTCATCGGGTGTTTACTGAGTAACCTGGAATTGGAACCCAGGTCCTTTCACGGGCCGAGCAGTAGGGTCCAGGGTGTCCTGTTCCCTGGTTTCCCACTTTGGCCAGCAAAGCAGCTTTTCACGTAAACACAGGGCAGGCTTGTCTCGTGGCTCTGAAGAAAGCACAGCCACCTGTGGTGGCCCCATGCAGGCATTTGTTTTCCTGACTGCAGACCACTTAGCCAGTCCCCTATTTTCTGCCTGTCTCATCACAAGCTGGCCAACATGACCAGCCAGGGCTCAGAGATGGGCAGTCCCAGCTGAGGCCAGACAGGCTGCCCTGCCCAAACCCACTCACACTGCCTCTGGTACCCTCTATCCAGCGTTCCCTGGGCCTCACCCAGCCTCACTGTTCTTGGTCACTGTGCCAAAACCTTGCCGTCCCACTGATCAGTCTTCCTGACTTTCCCTCCAAATGTCATGAAGCTCTCTGAGAAGATTCACTTAGTACCCTTAAGGGAGAAGACAGACAATAGAAGAGGAGGGGAAAACCCTCTGACTTATGTCCCATAAAGTATAAGCACTTTGAGGATAGAAACTTTTATAGTAAAAAAAAAAAATAGCCTTGAGAGCTTTTTTTAGTAGAAGTGTATTTCATGCAAAATCCTCGAATACAACAGTATATAGGCAGAAAGTAAGTGTGCCCCCATAATCCCATTCTCAGCTTGCCCTAGTAAGTGCTAGCTATATCGTTTTTGAGACCTTTTCTATGGCTATATAAAATATGCCTATGAGACTTTTTTGCATACATAGGATTGCACTGTAAGTTTGATTCTATAATGTGCTTTATTCATTAGCCAGTATACCTTGGAAAACGTTTTATGTCAATTAATGTGGATCTACTTGATTCTGTTATCAGCTCTGTAATATTCCGTGGTATAAATATATCATATCCCATGGATGGCCGTGTACTTTTTTCCTGTAACAAACAGCACTGCAGTGAGAATTCTTGTGTATAAATCTATAGGTACTTGTGCCAGAACTTCTAAAGGTAATTTCCTTGAATAGGAATTGTTGAGTCAAAGCGATGACACATTTTTTGTTTTTATGGTTATAAATTTAGATTGAGAGGATTTTTTGAAAAAGCACAAAGAATCCCAGATATACATACGTATGTTTGCGCATATATATAAACTACAGCATATCAGTATCTCTCCAGATTCCACTCTCCACTGAGCTTCCAGTTATACCTGCCTGTCCATATCACTCCTCTATTTGGTTGTCTGTTAAGTTCCAGTTCCGTAGATAAAGACATGATTGCCCTCACCCATCTAGGTCTCTGCCCAGTGTTCCTTAGCTCAGCAAATGGCACCAGTACTCACCCAGTGATTAAACCAGACCTCCTTCCGCATCAGCTCTCCCCAAACTCCCTTTGCTCTTCAGTCTGAACGCAGATTACAGGCAGTGGATCTAGCCACTGTGTGCAAGTTTCATATATATATGAATATACAAATAATACATATAGATAGATAGATAGATAGATAGATAGATAGATAGATAGATAGATAGATAGATAGATTTCCAATATCTGCTGAAATATAGCCTGAACAGTTCCTTAAGAACTCAGGAAATCCATAAAGCTACTTGTAGTAAAAGGTCATTAGAGGGATTTTCATCTATCAGGCAGGCTTTCCTGATATTAAATATTTAAAATATTCTCTCTGATTTTATAGGCAGAGAAGAGTTCTTAACATCTCAGCGAACCTAGTTACTGCTTCCTCTCTTATAGGACTTGAAATAGGAATCAGAGTATTTTAGGGAGCTTTCCAGGAAAACCAAATCATCTGCCACTTACAGAAAGTCCTAAGTCATCTCTATATTTTAAATACTTGATTCTTTTGTTTCCTCATTCGTTTTGCTGGTGACTATTCATCTAAGATAAAAGACTGTTTTTTCCCTTTTTAAATCTTCCCCTTTTTTTAGAATGAAGGAACCTGCTTCATTCTCATTGTTATATACTCCAGAAATGATCCTCATTGAAGAACATTCATTCTGCTTCCCAGGAGATGAAGAACGGTGGGCTGGGGCCTGGGGCCATGACAGGCTCCCTGCTAGGACACCAGGTTCTCAGATAACCTTTCCTTGCATGACTCATTCTGCCCAGGGGCTGTGCTCCTCTGCAGCTCGTGGGGTGGCTTCTCTTGATGGATGAGTCTGTGTTTCAACTGTCTGAGCAGAGACCCAACACAGTCAAGAAGTGAAGTATTTTACAAAGCTGTTGAAATCAGTAGGTAAAAGTTTCTGCTGTGCACGGCCAGTGTGCCGAGCACTGCGCGTATATTTTCTCATTTAATTCTCAGCTCTGTACGGTAGGTACTGTTATCCCACTGTACAGATAAATAAACTAAGGCCTGGAGTTAAGGAATTTGCTCAAGCCCAGAGCTAGTGTGTGTCAGAGGCAGGATTCAAATCCAGGTCCTGTGACTCCAGATTCCTGTCTTTTACCTCCACACTTGTCCTCTATGAAATAATGCTGGGAAAACAGCACTTCAGTGACCAGGTGGAAGGAGAGGAAAGATGTTATTTTGTCTGCTGGCCCCTCAAGCCACCAAGTAAAGATGAGCCTAGAAAGGGTGTGTCCTGATGCACCCTAGCTGACATTTATCATCAGCTCTTGTGATCAGAAGCATAAATGGGGACCATCAGATGGATGTGAGTGACTAGATGCCAAGTGGTTAACAGTTATTCATATTATTACTGATGAGTAAATGATGTGCCCAGAGGAGGCTGAATTAACTGGTGGGAGTAGAGGCTATCTCTCACCCTCCAACACACCCCAGCTCCTAAGTTTTTATTATTCATGACCCCAATCCTTATCAGAACATTAAATATCCCTGGAAGTGGTTAACAAACGCCTCCAGGTCCTTATTCCATGCCCTGGAGTAATCGTTTATTAACTGCTTCCCAAATTTCACAGTCTCTGAAAATTAACTCTGACGGAGTAGGGACCTAATGTTTTCTTTGAGGATTAAAGGGCTTAGTAGGAAGTGATTTTTTTTTTCTTACTTTCCCACTGACTTTTCAGTTTCTGCTGAGACCATTTTATTATACAAGGTAAAAGTAAACATGAAGGAGCCTATATTTGAGTCGTCAGGAGCCCCAAGACAGAACCCAGGACAGTGTGAGAGTTCACGTGCTGCATCACTGAACAGCCCAGGAGGCGCGTGTAGCAGATGAGAACAGAGTATAGTGAACACTCCGGGAACTGCCACCTATTTCTTCCTAAAAGAGAATCTGCAGTGCCATTCTGTAGTGTCGTACATTCTAAGTGCTTCACTACTTTTATCACGGTTTCAGAGCTAACAATGTTTGTGATGTGACGAAGTTGGCTGTCTCTCTTCCTCGGTCCTCCCCTCCCAACGCCACCTGTGGAGACCTGGCTTATTCATGTTCCTTGTCTCGGGCGCAGTGATTGGTCAAGGTCATCCCCAAAGAAAAGACAAGTGGAAATCGTGAGAGAAACTCGATTCCTCTTTTCTCTCTTCCTTAAATATGGTGTCCTTGTAGGTTATTTCGAGGAGGAGGAGGAAGACGGGGCCCTCGTTCAGTGGGCATCCACCCTGCTGTGCACCTTACATACCTTTTCTCATGTAGCCATCTGAACAACCCTGTGAGGCACACACTTTTAATATCCCTGCTATCTCCATCCTCCATACTCAGAGACACACGGAGGAGGAGTAACCTCACCAAGGTCACTGAGTTCTTCTTAAAAAGTTTGAAGTGTTTAATAAAATATTTCAGAAATCCACCATAAATCTAGAAATGCTGGTCTTCCCATTCACCTCGTTCATTGTTATAACTCCCCCATTACATGCCTAATGTAAAGGTTTCCACGGGATCCTAAGGTGTGCTCTGTGAAGATTCTTTCCCCAGGGGGTTAATAGCCTCTCTGAGCCCTGTACCCACAAGCTGGGCTTCTCGCCAGCACCCCTCCTGACAGCACTTTCGTCCCCTCTAATCGGCGATGCTCAGGTGTGCTGCTCAGTTGCTAAATGTTTTGAATATTTTACATGGGATGAAAGGGTTCTAAGATCGAATTAGTTTGGGAAACCTGGGGATAACCAGAGTTAAATAGTTTTCTTCAGAAAATCTCAGAGCCTTTATAATACTGACATATATTGTAAATCTGCAAGAAGACTCAAGGGTCCAGTGCTTCCTAAGCTGACTGGTACATGGAATGTGTTTTGTCTCCCGAGCATCTTACGGGTTATGTGTTCTCTAGACAACATTTTGACACATGCTGATTTAAATCCTTTGTGGGTTTCTATTAGTAAGTACAAGTACCATAAAGTATCTAAAAGCCCTAATGACAGTTACTAGAATGGATGACGAGTGAGTGGGGAGTCAGGGTAGTGAAGAGGGAAGATAGACTTTGGCATTTGACTTATACTGAGCCTGAGTCCTGGTGCTCCACTTCTTAGCCGTGCGTCCCTTGGCAGGTTACTTAATTTCTGTAATTGTAGCCTCCCCGATAGTAAAATAGACTGCTTATACCCACGTCGTGGAGCACTATAGATTCTCAAGGTGTGGAGGTGGTGGTTGCCATGGGCCTGCACAGAGGGTGCCCTGAACAGTGGAAGCTGTTTGTCCCCTCCCTCCCTTCTCTTCAGCATGCACAGATAGGCTTATCGTTCTCAGGCAGCTCAGTCATTCCTTTATTCATACGATGAGGGTCAACGTCTTGCAAAGCACTGTATTCTAAGTGCCTTATGATCTAGTTAAATTCCACTCAACAGAATTAATGTAATGTCAGTGCCCCCCAAAGGCATTCTGTTAAGACGTATCTAGACTGAAGAAAGGGAATTCTTTACCAGGGAAGGAAGAAATAATTGTCCTGATCTTTGTCCTTCCATGGAAGCTATTTTTGGAAAACGGAAGCTCTCACACTGAGTTAGTTGCTCGCTTCCCTTCAAAGCTACCCTGAGGATCAGCAACCCCTCGTGCCACGTCTGGAAGTCATCAAGGATACACTGAACCTGCCTCTGATTTCTCTAGGGTCGACAAGCACCCCCGGTGGCTTATGGTACAACTTCATTGAACTCCCCTACCATGGGGACAGCATCAGCATGCTGATTGCACTGCCAAGCGAGAGCTCCACGCCACTCGCGGCCATCATCCCGCACATCAGCACCAAGACCATAGACAGCTGGAAGAGCATGATGGTGCCCAAGAGGGTGCAGGTCATCCTGCCCAAGTAAGGAGCTCCTTTTCCTAAAAGAGAAAACAGCAGAAGTGCTCGATCCTTGATAGTGATTGTGTCAGATACCAGACAGTACGAGGCTAAAGTGTGGCACGTCATGAAGCCCATTTTATTTTGCAGAAATTGCCTGGTAGGAATACAAGGCTCTCCTTCTGTGCAAGTTTTGTTTTTATTTCCTGTGCCTCTTCTCTGACAGAATAATGACATCAGGGAAGGCAGAGAAGGCAGCAAAGCCACAAGCTCCTGTGCCACTGCAAAGCTTTTAGCATACCTTGTTCTGTTCCAAAGAGCGAAAAACACATGCGTATCATTACATTATAATGAAAGTACAGTAAAGTTGAGTGGTGCTCTGTGTGGTTTTGATAAGGAGTTTTATTTTCGTTATTTAAGTTTTAGCTGGAAGTTGATGAAGACCAAGGTCAGAAAGCTAGGTGGTAAACGTTTTGAAACCACCAATGCAGAATTCTTACATTAGGGGCTAGGGAAGTTTTTCTATTGTATACCCTGAAAATATACTATAGATGGAATTTGAGCCATTGTGACTTGAGTCCAAGGGAAACAATCCCAAATTCTGTCTGAATCCTAAATTTTGAGCAGGTCAGAGAATGCTTTGCCTAGATCTGTGAAGGAGGCAACGAATGTCTCCTTTTTATAAATTTTTTAACATTAGTGTTCCACGAGTCTCTATGTCTTTTAACCACCCAGGCCTCAGTGGTGGTGGCAATGCCTTCCAGTTCTAATAGCTTTTAATTTCCAGTCACTGAGTTAAGAAATCAGAGAAGTACATTGATAATAAGTATTAGTAATCCTCCCAAGATTCTTTTTTATTATAAAATAAGCCTTCACATAGGCAACGTTTGATATAAAGGAATAAGATGTAGGTGAAGTACAATTATAATGGTAAATTACCATTCTAGCCCATCTGTGATGAGAATTTGTTCACTTACCCTTGTTATTCTCCCACAGGGTGTGATAAATCTGGTAAAACATTCACTGATGATAGGTTTAATAACTGACACACGTATGGCTGTAAGACTAGATAGCCCACAAATACTCAAGAAACCCATATTACACCATGACGCCTATTCCTAATGCTTGCTCTCATTTTAACAGTAAAATGCTTTCAGAATCCCAGCATGAACCAGTAGGAAAGTATCTCCTCTCTTTTGACCACACCTGGTCCCTAGAGATGATGGCTCTTTGGATAGGAGGAAGAATTGTAGATATTACAGAGTGTCAGACACTTGTCAACACCCTGTATCTCCCTGTCAGCATAAGAGAAGGAGCTCCTGTGTGTCTCCCTGAATGCTGGAGGAGGGAGCGATGCATACGTCTTCTTGCTGTTACTCCATGTGCTGCTTATTTTGGCAGCTAAGTGTTTGAGAGATGAGTTGTTCCCTAGTTACCTGGTACTTAAATCTTGGGATTAAAATTGACAATACAATTTAGATTGGTGTTCAGAGCGTGCTTAAAAAAAGAATCTGTTCATAAACATTTTTCCACTGGCACTGATAATATCATTTTATATCATTTAAAGGCTAACGATTTCCCCCTATTTTCTGCTTTCATGCTAGGTTCACAGCTGTAACACAAACAGATCTGAAGGAGCCGCTGAAAGCTCTTGGCATCACCGATATGTTTGACGCGACAAAGGCAAATTTTGCAAAAATCACAAGTATGTCCAGTTTAAAACTTGTTCTTAAACTTGAAGACTGTGTTACAAACTGAGTCTCTGATTTGTTCTGAGAGAAAAGGTCACAATTCGGAGTGCACACCACTAAACCTCTCCAAGGTTTAATTTGATTTGTCAGCTAATGATGCTATTGATCCTTAATCATTGACATCAGCATAAGTCAGTCATGCCTGCATTTCACATGTACATTTCATGTGAAACCCAAGTGACTCCACACAGCTAAAGAGGTATTTTGTGTATTGTCTGTGTTACCTAAAAATGTGGCTCTTAATTAGATGCTAGTTTTGTTTTCAAATGCAAACTTCCCTGTGTTTTAAAAATGAAGATTCTGGGGGGGCTCTCAAATACTTGCTTATTTCCATGAAACAACAGCAGGCATGTACTGTATCCAGATATGTATTTTGACATTTCATGCCCATTAATCTGAAGTAATATAAATTCAAAGGAGTTTGATTAGAATTTTTCTTTGCCAAAACATCTAGGACACAGCTGCTATGATATCCCTTAGTTTGCCAATGTAGGGACCTGTTCCTGGAGTTAAGTTTGAATGGCCGGTCCTTTGTGTTTTTAATTTGGAGCATAGCAATCTCCTGCAAAAGAAAAGTCATGGCTTGAACATTGTTTTTCGACTCCATTTTGTATTTTTTCCCTTGAGTGAGAAGGAATGTGTTCCTTACCAGCCTCAGTTGCCTGCTAATGAACACCTGAGTGCCTGTCCTGGGGAGAAACTCGACTTTCCTGGTGAAATTGCAGCTCATGGATATTCTGATAGTCTCATCCCCATCCAGAGGCATTCTCATCACCTGGGAACTTATTTAAAATGCATGATCTTGGGTCTGACCCAGACCTCCTGAATCAGAATCTTCACTTTACTGAATTCCTCAGCCCAATCACGTTTGAGAAGCACTGTTTTAACCTGCACGTTTCTCTTCCGGGTTATCCTCTGTAGCCTAACAGAATGCCCCCAGAAAGTTCACAGGTGTTCAGAGGGAAGACCAAGTACCCAGAATTCTCTTGAGAAGTTCTGTTTAACCGTGCAGGTGACTTGGGCCCTGCAGACGTGTCTCTCACTCACAATAGGTCATAGTAGAGCCGAGCAATAGTGCAGAAAATTTAAAACCAGATGACGCAAAAAGCACTTTTACCCTTTGCATCCAGACCCATGTCTAATAAACACTAACGTTAACTTTCATTTGCATTGTCCCTGAAAGCTGCGTCTAATGGGTATTGCTAGAATGGCAGAGATTTGCTGAGAAGGAAAGTGAACTCAATAGAAGGTCCCAGCGGCACAGCTGCGTTTCTGCGCCTGGCCCTGCTCAGCAGTCTACACTCCTCATCCTCCACACTCTTCTCTCACTAATATGCCCATGAGAGGAGTGACTTTTGTTATGAAAAGCCAGTAGTGACTCTGCCACTAACTAGCCCTGTGATTTGAGGGCAGATTTTTTTTTTAAGCACTCTGGGCCTCAGTTTCCCCATCTGAAATCCTTCTTGGATCTGACATTCTGTAAGTAAAAAATAACATTGGCTTGCTACTTCTGGGAAAATGGGCTTCCTTTTTAAAGCTCTGCTCTTTTTACTTATAAAATGTTTAGTGATCAGAGTTGAATTGCTAGAGGCACTAACGCATTTGGGGCCTGGCACTCCCTACCCTGAAGTGTTACCACAGTTCACTTAGCAGAGACCACAGGTGACCGTCACCCTCCAGCCTTCAGTCACCTTCAGTCACTGGGGCTGTAAGAGGCCACTTCTTCTCGGGCACCTTTTAAGAATTGGGATTTGCCATGGCTGAGGTTACTTCTCCAACTAAACAGATGGCCTGCATACCAAACAATTGCTGGGGTTTTTTGTCTTATTTTCTGGAAACAGGGTCAGAAAACCTTCATGTTTCTCACATCTTGCAAAAAGCAAAAATTGAAGTCAGCGAAGATGGAACCAAAGCTTCCGCAGTAACAGGTAAGTCGGGGTCACGTGGCAGGGCTAGCTCTGGTGTGGGGGAGCGTATGTGCTCCGCTTGTCATCAGCTGCTGGCCAGGCCCTGTAGGCTGAACATCGGGAAAGGCTGGTGAATTCACAGATTACAGACTGGTGTGCAAGAAGCTCAGAGTCTGTTTCATTAGGAATAGCACTTCAGTGAGAGAAACTCCTCTAGGACAAGAGTTGACACTTTTTCTGTAAAGAGCTAAACAGTATATTTTTTGCTTCGTGGGCTGTACGGTCTCCATAGCGACTTCTCAGCTCTGCCGTTGAGAAGTTGAGAAAGCAATACAGATGATTCAAGGAAGTGGGCGTGGCTGGGTTTCTATCAAATTTTATATTATAGACACAGGACCTGACCCTTAGACCTGGCCTGAGCACAGTAGGTCGCTGAATCCTGCTCTCAGAAAGATAAAGCATATTCTGGTTGCTTAACAGCAGAAAAGACCAATCTTCAGATTAAAACATAAAATAATAGCAACTACTAATAGGAAAACAGTCAATCAGGTTTATCCAGGACAAAGTGAAGAATTAGCTACTCAGCTATTCAGTTACAGCAGGATTTCTATGCAGCATTTCTTAATAATTAGAACATCCACATATTCTTTCTCCTGGATGGCTTATATTATGAAGAAGAAAATAGAACAATCTTAGGGTGTTTTTTGGTTTTTTTAACCCCCTAATTATCCATATGAGATTGGCTGAATAGATATGACCAAGCTCTGTGAGCTCCTAAAGTGAATATCTTAGCTACACTTGTAACTGGGTCAAATATTTCTGGTCATTAAAAGGTACCATTTATACCCACAGGAGAAACTTTATTGCCTTTCTAAAATAAACATTTAATTTTTATTTCTTTAAAATAGTATTTAAAACAAAGACCCTAGAATAAGAGTGCTTGGCATTTTTAAGATGCCGTTTGTCTTTTCTAGGTGATTATAAGTGACATCTAAATTTTACTAAAGTTACCAATTTTGCCAACTAGTGTAACTATCAGGACTGGCTATATAATTTGCAGGGCTCTATGCAAAATGAAAATATGGAGCCGCTTGTTTAAAACTTATTAAGAATTTTGAGACAGCAGCAAGAGAGCACTAAACCAAGTACAAGGTCCCTGTGAGTGTGGGGTCCTGTGTAAACTGCCCAGCTCACATCCCCATGAAGCCAGCCAGCCCCGCCATATTAGTCTGCTAGGGCTGCCCTGACAAGTACCACAGACTGGATGGTTTAAGCAACAAAAATTTATTTCTCATAGTTCTGGAGGCTGGAAGTCCAAGATCAAGATGTTGGCAGGGTTGGTTCCTCCTGAATCTTCTCTCCTTGGCTTGCAGATGGCCCCCCTCTCGCTGTGTCCTCACGTGGCCTTTTCTCTGTGTGTGCTCATCCCTGCTGTCTCACTCTTATAAGATCACCAGTCCTATTGGATTAGGGCCCCACCTTCATGACCTCATTTAAATAAATACCTCCTTGTGCTGGCTTCAGCAGCACATATACTAAATAAATATCTCCTTCAAGGCCCTATCTCCAAATACAGTCACATTGGGGATTAGGGCTTCAACATACACATTTGGAGGGGATACAATTTAGTCCGTCACACCTGCTAACTATTGAGTTGTTTTTAATAACCCTGGGTTCAGTGGTTATTAACCCAGGGTTAGCTACAGATGCTTCCTTTGTATCACCAAGCCCAAGTCATTCGTGCTCTCTAGGGTTTGAACAAGAGGACTGGGACATTGCGCAAGCATGGGGCACTTATGCCTGCCCCTGCCCCCCTGCAAGGCCTTGTCACAGGCATATTAAATTGAAGCCGCTGTTGCTAAGCATGGCAGAGGAAGCATGTCTAAGACCATGTGCCCAAAGAAGTTTGCTTTCTAAGTCCACCAGATAAGCTGGACAGTAGCATAGTAGGTCCCTGATGAGAGGTCTGTTTTCCAGTACAGAGGAAACCTCGATGATGTGCCAAAGGAAGAGGCGCAAAGTGGTTGAGAATGCAGCTGGGCCTTGATGTATGGAAGGGATGTGGATAGGCTAAAACGGCGAGAGGCCTTCATCAGGAAGGCAGACGGTATCACTAAAACACAGCTAATTCTAACAGTGCATATGCATTGGGTGTTTATTAAGTGTCAAACACCATTCTAAGAGCTGTAATATGTTTTGTCATTTAATCCTTATAAAAACCCTATGAGGAGTAAGTACTTTTTTTAAAGAAGATGGTGCTTGTGTAGACTAAATGAGACGGTAGGTATAAACGGCTGGCCCATGGTGGGTGTCCAGTAAATGGTGACCATTGGGCCTGTTGTAACACAGCCAGCCTATGGGACAGGAGTTAAGTGTGTAGTCAGACACCAGCGTCGAGGACCCGCTGGGCCAGCAGCTGCCTGGCTGGCCTCAGGCTGGCTGGACAACATGTGTCCCTTTTCTTCCCATAGCTGCGATTCTCATAGCGAGGTCGTCGCCTCCCTGGTTTATAGTGGACAGACCGTTTCTGTTTTTCATCCGACATAATCCTACAGGTAGGTGATTCTCCTCTTCCATTGTTCAGAAAGTTGTTCAGAAAGGTGTATGACCAGATAAATCCAACAGTGCTGCTTTTTTAGTCTGTTTCTCATGTGGCAACAATCACAAACACTTCAAACAATATAACCAAACACCCACCTTGAAAATCAGGCTGTTTACAAAGTGTGATGGAATCTTTTAAACAAGGACAAGATTTTAGGTTTGTTTTGTTTTATTTTTAGCATACAGAGAGCTCTGCACCCTTTGGGGCACTTTTGGCATCTAGTGATTTATAGATATAAATCAACATAAGTAAATGCCGTAAATTTTGCAAGATGTCTTCAAGCTTTGTAAGCCCACTCTATGCTTATGACCTGAGCTGGTCATTCAGTCGATGCTGGCTCTATGAATCATGGGTTCAAACTACCCCTTAGTACAGTTTTGGAAAATAAATAAGATTGTCTTTGTGAAGAAGTTGGCATGTTGGTACAGAACAGAAACTAATACATTTTAGCATTTACTCTTTTTTTTTTAATCAATAATATAAACTAGTTCCCTATCGTTTGTCTCATTGCATCATTAATGACATTATTCAACAGAATGGCCTACTACGGGAGCCTCTAGCCACACATGTGGTTATTTCACTTTAATTTCAAATTAATTTAAATGAAATACAATTAAAAATTCAGCTTCTTAGTCACCCTAGCCATATTTCAAGGGCTCAATAGCCACATGTGATTAGTGGCTACCATATTGGACCATGAAGATATAAAGCATTTCCATCAATGTAAAAAGTTGTATTGCACAGCTCTTCTTGAGAGAAGTCGGTTAAACTTGGCCCAGGGACCCTCCCTTAAGTGTCCCTCCCATCTCGCTTTAAAGACTGTTTTTAATAGTTATGCATTGTTTTCTTTTAATTCTGTAGGTGCCTTCTTATTCATGGGGCAGATAAACAAACCCTGAAGAGTACAGAGAAGAATCCACGCAAAGCCAAGACACCTTGGCTCTGAAGGAAAGACTCCTTGCCTACATCTTTCATAGTTCTGTTAAATATTTTTGCACATTACTTCCTTTTTCAAAATTAGTTCTTAGGAACAGAGACTCAACGATACAAGCGTTTCTATTCTGATATGTGTTCAAGGAGAAAGAGAAGGGGCAGGACGTCTGGAACATTGGACTGAGTAATAAGCAGAAAGGCTTCCAAATGTCTCAAAGATTCTTTAAACTACTGAGTATTTACTGTCCAGTTCAGGATTTTTGTTTTGTTTTGTTTATTTGTGTGGCTTTTCAGAAGAAATTTAATCAGTGTGATGGGGGTGGGGGGAAAGACATTTTATGGTAGCTTTTACTTTTTATGAAAAAAATATTATTGGCCTTTTTAATTTTTTTTTTTCGTCCCATCCAAAGTCTTGATGGCAAGCATTATTTTGGGGGTACAAATAGTGAAATCTCTAGCCTTTTTGTGTGTTTTTGTCGTTGTTGTCGTTGTTGCTTTATATAATGCATGTACTCACTAAAATAAAGTTTAAAAAACTAATGTCTTGCTAGACAAGGTTTGCTGTTGTGCAGTGTGCCTGTCACTACTGGTCTGTACTCTTTGGATTTGCATTTTTGTATTTTGTACAAAGTAAAAATAAAGTGTTATGAGTAGTAAGAAAAAGAAAAAAGCTATTTCTGTTATTTGAAAATACAACAAAAGCCATGGAGCTTTTTAAAAAGACATTTCAGCCTCTTCTTTTTTTTTTTAATTTATTTTTATTAGTGTCAGGTTTACAAAGCAATGTAATAGACATTTAAACCCCTCATAAAGTAATAATTGCCACCCCCAAGCTACTACCCCTGTGACATTGTATATAGCTATTACAACACCATCGACTCTCTTCCCTGTGTTGTACTCCACATCCCGTGACTATATATATATATATATATATATATATATATATATATATATATACCTATATATTTAGTTATAGTTCACATCAGTATTATTCTACTTCAGCTCTTCAGGTGTAGAGCGCATTGGTCAGGCATCTACACAGTCTGTGACGTGATCCCCCTGATAAGTCCAGTGCCCATCTGGCACCTTACATGATTTTTACAACATCATTGATTATATTCCCCAGACTGTATTAACTATCAATTTGTATTTCTTAATGTCTTCACCTTTGTCACCCTGACCCCAACCCCATTCCCATCTATCACCCTGATGGATCTAGTTCCCATCTGACACCATACCTAGTTATTACAATATTATTGACTATATTCCTTATGCTATACCCTCCATCCCCATGACTACTGTGTAACAACCAATTTGTACTTCTTAATCCGTTCCCCTTTCACCCATCCTTAACCCCCCTCCCATCTTAAAGAAGCCCCTCTAAGATTCCTTGTAATACTGGTTTGGTGGTGATGAACTCCTTCAGCTTTTTCTTGTCTGGGAAGCTCCTTATCTGTCCTTCAATTCTAAATGACAACCTTGCTGGGTAGAGCAATCTTGATTAAATGTCGTTGCTTTTCATCACTTTGAATATTTCCTGCCAATCCCTTCTTGCCTGCAAAGTTTCTGTTGAGAAATCAGCAGTCTTGTGAGGGCTCCCTTGTAGGTAACTAACTGCTTTTCTTTTGCTGCTTTTAAGATTCTCTGTATTTAACCTTTGGCATTTTAATTATGGTGTGTCTTGGTGTGGGCCTCTTTGGGTTTATCTTGTTTGGCACTGTCTTCACTTCCTGGGCTTGTATGTCCATGTCCTTCACCAGGTTATGGAAGATTTCTGTCATTATTTCTTCAAATAGGTTTTCAATTCCTTGTTCTCTCTCTCCTTCTGGTACCCCTATAATGCGAATGTTGGGATGCTTGATATTGTCCCGGAGGCCCCTTAAACACTCCTCAGTTTTTGGGGGTTCTTTTTTCTTTTTGCTGTTCTGTTTGGGTATTTTTTGCTACCTTATCTTCTACATTGCTAGTTGGATCCTGTGCTTCATCTAATCTACTGTTGATTCCCTGTAAGATACTCTTCGTTTCCATTATTCTATCCTTTATTTCTGACTTGGTTCTTTTTCATGGTTTCCATCTCCATTTTTTTGCTTCCTATCTCTCTGTTGAAGTTCTCCCTGAGATCATTGAGCATTCTAATAACCAGTGTTTGGAACGCTGCATCTGATAGATTGCTTATCTCCTTTTCCCTTAGTTCTTTTTCTGGAGCTTTGTTCTGTTCTTTTATTTGGGACCTGTTTCTTTGTCTCCCCATTTTGGCTGCCTCCGTGTTTGTTTCTATGTATTAGGTAGGGCTACTATGTCTTCCAGTCTTAAGAGAATGGCCTTATGTAGTAGGTGTTCTATGGGGTTCAGTGGCGCAGTCTTTCTGGTCACCTGAGCCACGCGCTCCAGGTGTGTCCCCTGTGTGGGTTGTGTGTACCCTCCTCTTGTAGTTGAGCCTTGGTTGATAACTGCATATCAGTGTGAGGGACTGACCCTTGGGCTCACGGGTTGTGAGCACTGGCCTTGACTACAGAGGAAGAGTTGTTGTGCAGGGGCTGACCCTACGGAGCAGGATCTGCCTCAGCAGGACTCTGGTGCCTGCCCGTCCACCTGTTGGGTGTGTCCTACTTGGAGGCGGCTGGCTGATGTTCCAGCTCGTTTTGAAGCTGCCACTGGGGGCGCCAGCCCCGGGCCCACCTTGGAGGGGATCTGCTGTAGGTCTATTCAGCCACAATCTGTGCCCCACCAGCGGCCACCCAGCAGGAGCCAGGAAGAAATCCACAGATGGCTGCCGCCGTGCTGTGCTTGGAGGCACCTCGAGAGGCCAAGCTGCAAACCAAGGCCGGCTGCCGCTAGTGCAGCCGGCTTAGGGCTGCTCAGCCAGAGGTACAGGACACGCTCAAGCCAGATGCTGCTTGTTTGGGTTCACAAACCTTTGAGAGACCCTAGGAAAGTCTGCAGCTTGAGCCTAGGCAGGCGTTCTGCATGAAAAGGCCACTGAAAGCAGCCTGGGTGTGCCTGAAATTTGGGCAGGGCCAGGTCTCAAATCGCCAGGGTAGGGAGAACCAATGGTGGAGACGCAGAAATGGAGGCCACCTGTGTTTGCACTCCAGGAAGGGGAAAGGCTCAACAAAGAAAATGGCCTCTGCCAGCTCCCCGGTCCAGGAGAAAGCCGCCTCTCCAGCCCCCGTCCCAAGCCAGACAATCCAGTTCCCCATCATGTGTCCCTGCCGCCTCGCCAGCTGCTACACTAGTGCTGGAGCTCAAGAGCAAGTGATTCTGTTTGTGGGTAAGTCTGTGTGCAGTCCCTTTAATAGGAGCGCCTGGAGTGCAGTTGTGCTCGGTCTCACTCAGTTACAATCTCCACTGGTTTTCACAGCCAAAAATTATGGGACTCCTCTCCCCAGCACTGGAACCCTGGGCTCCTTTAGGGAATGGGGGGGCGGCCCACAGCCAAAATAACCCTCCCAATTTTTAATGGTCAAATGCGGGTGTGGGACCAGCCCGTTCCACGTCGCTCACCTTCCTACCAGTCTGGAGGTGGCTTCTGCGCGTCCCTTAGTTGAAAGGCTTCAGTTCAGTTTGATGTTAAGCGATTCTCAATAATGGTTGCTTTGTAGATTAGTTGTAATTTTGACGTGGTTGTGAGAGAAGGTAAACACAGCGTTCACTTCCTGCGCCATCTTGGTTGTACTCCAGCCTCTTCTAATAAACCTTTGCATTCCAGCAAGCTGCTGGAAACCCAAAACCCCTGACTTTTCTTAGCCTTTTTGTCTAATCCTGGCACTTAGATGATCTTCCCTGCTTCAACACTTCTCAGTTTATAGATCGCTTCAGAGGAATAACTATCTCCATAAACCCACCTCTAATCGCTGCTGTGGTTCACTCAAGTGAGGGCTGAGTATTCTCATCACAGGTGGGAATTGTATAGTCAGTGCAGAAATCAGTTGCTGGGGACTAATCACACGTTAGAAATCTGAGTGAATGGTGGATGTGTCATTTATGGTGATAGGCTGGAGCTTTTATTTTTTGAGATGACAAGATTTTTTTTTTTGTCTTTTATTTTTGGGGGGGAACTCATCACAATTCTAATATTACCAGTTTTTATTTGTCTTTTTTTTTCCTTCCCACCAATTTCTTAAAGATTTGGGTAGTCATCTAAATCAGAATACTTTCCAATATTTCTTAGCAAACTTAACCCATGAGCTCTACTCCTCACTCTTTATACATTAAAACTTCACCTTCAACACTCAACCAATCTGCTGTTTGTAATTCTTACTTGTGAAGTGGGCTGTGCTTCGCTATTTGCAACTAAGTATGGCTGCTTTGGTTAACCATGAGAAAAGGGAGCAGGAGGAGGAGGAGTGTTTCCCTTATGTAAGAGTAAGGGCTTCTGGGTGGTAAACACGTGGAGGAGCCGGGACAGTGGAGCACTAGGCCGTGCACGCAGCTCCGTGCCGCTTCCTCATACCTGGCCCTGTGCATCTCTTCCATCTGGCTGTTCAGAAGTATATCCTTTTATAATAAACCAGTAGTCTAGCAAGTCAATTGTTTCTGTGTTCTGTGAGCTGCTCTAGCAAATTAATCAAACTCAGGAGGGGGGGTCATGGGAACCTCTGATTTACAGACAGTCAGAAGCACAAGGGTGATCTACTTGTGATTGGCACGCGAAGTGGAAAGTGGTCTTGTGGGCCTGAGCCCTTAACCTGTGGAATATGATGCCATCTCCAGGTGGGTAGTGTCAGAATTGAGTTGAATTGTAGGACACCCAGCTGATGTCTGAGAATTGGTGGTGTGGGGGGAACCCACACCCTGGAAATGGGTGTCAGAATCTTTATTTCCGAGGTAGACATTTGAGCAAACAATTTATCATAGAGATTGGATGTCACATTGAGTTTGGTCCAGAGACAATCTGGACTTTTTGTAAAGTAACAAAATGGTAGACCTATGAAAACACTGAGGCCAACAACCAGTAAAGTCACTTATTTGACACTTAATGAGATGAGAACTTTCAATTCTGCCTAATACACAATGGCAAAAAACAGTAGACATCAACGCAAATAAGTTGAAAGCTCTATGGCCTTTGAGTCTTTTTCCAGGTGACCTGGAATAAAAAGGCCAATCATAAGAGAACTTTACAAAAAGACACAAAGGAGTGGCTTTTGTACCAGTAACTCTGTCTTTCTGAAAATGAAAACACTGAGTGACACTTGCGCTCCACATTAAGTGTCTAAGAAACTGAAGTAGGAAGGGCAGGGATTTGCTCTGAGCCAGCGGAATGGCAAATGCACTTCCTAGGACTGATCAGGAGTGACCGCCAGGGGACACGCGAGCACTGGTTAAACT